AAAATGCTGTGCTTCTGTCACCCAAGCAATGGGCAGGTTGGGCTTGCATAAAGAATGTATTGGAAAACTGGGTAATTGTACTTCCCAACAGCTATTGTTCCAACTGCCTAGTGTGTTTCTGGAGATGCAGAACCCTCCTGGTTCCTCTTGTACTCAGCAGTGCTGCAGTCAGTATTTGTAATTGATTTTTGCCAGTAACGTCTGAAAAACCACAGTTTGCCTATTGTATCTATTTGCAGCAGTTTCTCATCTTTTCTAGGACAGCCATTTTAGTGGAGAGGCCAGGAGCATGAGTGAATGATGCATATGTTAGTGTGAGATAAATTTCTGTGCAAATTATTCCCAGCATGAGTTGTAAAAGCCTGGTCCAATGCTGCGTGTGACAGCGTGACAGGCAAGACTGTAGTCATTGATGGAAGGCTGGGAGGTACAGGCGAGTCTGTCAGCTGTGCAGTGCAGGAAATGCAGGGAGGGGAGGTTAGCCAAGGCTTTGGACTTCTCACTGATGGCTCCATCAGCTTGGTATGGATGTGTTGCTCTTCACTGTCTTGTATTGTGCACCATGTATCAGAGACTGCTAAACATGGTATTGCTTTTCAAATCTGTTCTGATGCTAGGGAGAATAGTAATTTCAGATCTTGTGTGTCTGTTGAGAGACTTTTTATTGGTTCCTTTTCTTCGGCTGCTTGGAAAGATAATCGAAGTGTTTCCCTTCTTGCTGTCCACGGTATGTTTTTCTGAAGAAAGAGAGGTGTAAGACTAAAATCTCTTGTCCTGATTTTACAAAATACCTGTTAACAGAACTGTTGGTTGAATCAAAATTACTCAGTCTTTGTGCTTCTGTCATAAAATCCTTTCATAGGTCAGGTAGACTGGAGATCCCATGGTGAGCCATGCCCACCCCAATCCCCCTACTGGAACCCACAAACACCATCTCTGTGATGTCTCTGCCACCTCTAAAAACAAGGAGGTCTGTGTGGTTTTGGCGTGTATGTTGTATCAGGTACACATGGGGAGGAAAGCCTCAGTTACTAACTAGACAGATTTTGGTAAACTGGTAGCTATCAGTATGTAATCTCTAAGCCACAAACTATAGGGAATCACAGTGTAGCTGGCAGCTAACTATCTCTCCCTATGACACTAGCCAGAGATTCTTCCATGCTGTTGTGTGGTACATTAGTAAGGAGTAAACATGAGCTTCTGATGAAACACCAATGCAATTAGTGTCTCTGCTTTTACAAAGGAAAAAGCAGTAAAACCATACACCTGCTTCCGTGCTCCCCTAATTATGCCCTAGTACTTTGTAAACCAGGTGAGCACTGTTCTTGACTGGGTTCAGCAGCCTTCTGGAAGTGCTGCCTGCCTTTCTTTCTGCGGGGCATCACTCTGAAAAATGTTAAGAGACCATCTGATACTTTGGGATCTCAGAATTACCAGATGATGCTTAAGGGCATCGGGAACAGAGTGTGGGCATGAGGGAATAGGTAATGGGTTTGAAAGCTTGATACCAAACACAAACAGGCAGAGAGACAGGGAGAGTTCTGCATAAAGACTTACCAGCGTGGAGAGGTGTTGAGGGCTGGTGGTGAATCTGGCAGGTTTTGGCAGAGCTGTGCTGGAGAGAAAGCTCCAGGCTTGGCCTCGTAGGCATCCCTTGTGCCTGCAGAAATGGATCCTCACAGAAAGCACCACACCAGTGGCAGATGGGATGTCACTGGCTGCCCGAGTGCTTTGGAGGCACTGTCAGCAGTGGGGTCAGTGCCAGCGGTCAGGCAGAGCCGTGCAGCCACAGCCAGCGCTGCATCTTGCACCTTGGCCCAGAGGCTGTGCTGGGCAGTGCCCGGGGCTCAGGCTGCTCCTTCCTGGCCGTGCTCCCGTGGCTCCTGCTGCAGGGAGGCTTTTCCTTCTGCTCAGTGGCTCATGACACCGGCTGACGCTGGCTGGCAAGAGCTGTGGTGGGTGTACAGAGCCACAGTGAGCCTGATATGGGAACAGTGCATTTATTGTGGTCTGGAGCAGCTCTGGTAGCGTGCACTGCAGAAGCCTGGCTATTAAATCAGACTCATTTCCTCATAACTGCTTAATTATCTTCCTTCTTCCCCTGCTTCTTGACACCTGGGTGCACTCCTGAACCATGCCTTAGCCTACAGGCATGTCATTTGAATTTTCCTTATTCAACTTAGTTGCATTTTTTTCCTTTCAGTCAGTGGGTGGGTGCCGGTGCAGTCCCTTCCCTGTCGGGTGGGCACGGTGGGTTCTAGCAGTGCCTGATCTGCTCAATGGATGCCTCGTTTGTGTTTCAGCCACTGTGGGTCTCTCAATTTTGTGTACTGACAGAGTCAGCGCTGAGCAGCCCTTCACATCTACTACAGAAGGAGCTCTTGTGACTGTGGAGCAGGCATATTTCTTGAGCTCATATTAACAGTTTATTCAGTAATTGTCAGTGCGACAGTCTCCTGCCCCGTGCCGCCTGTGCCTGACTCCCTTGGCTTCCTCTTGACTGATGTGCAGGGAAGGGCAGGTCAGCATCAGTATTTGCTGACGCTCCCACACTCCAGTGAGAACCAGCTCCAGGAGTTCGAGAAAGCAAGTTGGGGAGGGCAAGACAAAAAAAAATAAAAATTGAGGACTGTTAGTGGATCTGGGCAGGGAGACATTTTTTGTTATCGTGTCTGTGCTCAGGGTCCCCAGCCCCAAAGCTGAGCATCGCCCAGCATGTGCTCCACGGAGAGAGGTGTAGTGCAGCCCGAGTCTGGGACTGCCAGGCTAGCGCACACCAGCTGTCCTTGTGCCTGGCTGCTCCTGACAGGTGGCTGTCCCCAGGTCGCTGGTCAAGATCAGGATCTCCGTGTGCTCATGGAGGTGCGTCGGTGCAGGATGTTTGAAGGAGCTGTGCATGGGGGGCTGTGGCGTGCCCTTGCTTCCAGGCCCCCCTTAGCACAGTTTGGGCAGACCTCTGCCCGATGTGTTAGCTTGGGTCGGGGAAGAAGCGGGGCTGACCCTGGGTGTGCTTGTTGGAGAGGCCGGTGAGTGGCAGGAGAACCGAGGGAGCTCACCCGAGCTCTTTTCCCCGTGGGAGGCGAGGCTCCCTATGGGCTGTGCTGGGCGGGGACGGTAAATGCGCCTTGCCGGGATTGGGGTGTCGGTGCCGGGATTGGGGTGTCGGTGCCAGGATTGGGGTGTCGGTGCCGGGGCTGGGTGCCGGGATTGGGGTGTCGGTGCCGGGGTGTCCGGCTGGGTGCCAGGATTGGGGTGTCGGTGCCGGGATTGGGGTGTCGGTGCCGGGCTGGGTGCTGGGCTGGGTGCTGGGCTGGGTGCCGGCTGTCTGCAGAGCCGTGGGGCGGCCCTGGCCGGGGCAGTGCGGGCAGCCCGCGGCTGTTCACACCCGAGCTGCAGCAGGGCTGAGCGCGCCCGCGTTCCCCTCCTTTCCCCACCCAGTTCCTTTGTCTTGGCTTCGTGTGGATGAGATTGCTGTAAAAACGCACACGGGGCTCTGGGCTTTGGCTGCTACCGGGATGCAGGAATATTCTTTGCATCCTTCTGTTGACAGAAAGGAGGCTGCAAATTCCCACCACGGTGGCGGTACTTCAGAAATTGCCCCGAGGGTGGCGGATGGAAGACAAACCCATTTCCCTGCAGAGCAATTAACGACGCAAGAGCGTCACAGGGCGAGGCTGGCATGTGAGCCCTGCTGATGGCTCTGGTCGGCCCTTGTCCAGGCTCAGACTGTGGAAGGGGAGTGTATTTATGTGCCAAAACCTGGGCTGTGGGCGGCAGGGGTAACAGAGCGGAATGTAAGGTGTGATCAAGAGCTGAAGAGTTATTGGAGGTGTTTTAAGCAGTCAGATAGACAAGGTATTCTCTGGCACAGCAGTCAGCCTATGTCACCTGCATCCACAGCAAGCATACATGAGATCGGGTGGTTTGCCCCTGTACTGCCTGCAGCTGCTTGTGCAGACTTGTGCAGGTGGAGGTCGGTAGAAGAGCAGGATCTCATCCATCCCAGTTCCTCTGGACAGGGTCTATTCCCCACAGGACAGTGCCCATCATCTCCCATCAGTGTATGCCAAGCTGTCTGGTCCAAAAATGTGAATGCGGGAACAGCATAAGCACAATTCTGGTTGGGGTGTTCCTCTGTTGTCTGGCTGTGCTCCTTTGGAGAAAGCTGCTGGCCTCTTCGGTCAGTAGAAAGGAGAACAGAAGAGATGGTAAATCATGGAGTGCAGTCCAATGCCTCCTGGTCTTTGTATAGACCTGTGAAATGCCTCAGAAGCATTACTCCAAGCACAGCAGGAGAGTGACAGATTGCCGGCTGGATGCCTGTCCTGTTGGTGGTCTTTGCAAGGTGATAACAGAGGAGAGAGTAACTTGTCTTCTTTAATGCAACTTACTCTACATGGTATCTGGATAAGATTTAAAGACATGCCTTAGTACAAACCTGCTCTAAATGCTGGTGTGTGGCTCATGCTTCCTGCACAGTTATGTGCGTAATGTCCTGGCACAGGAGGCTTTTGACTTCTCTCTGTATTTTATGGAAGCATATTTGCTGTGTCCCCAGTGACTCTCCCTTGTGCTCAGTCTGCCTCAGTGGTGTTTTTGGCAGCCCCCTCTCCCGCTTAGAAACAGCTTTAGGAGTATGACATTTTCAATCCTTGCTCTTGTACTGTTGTTTGGAGTGTGAGCACAGGTCCAGTGACCTTTCTGCAGCATCAGTGGTTGAGGTGAGCAGTGGGAGAATGCCTGTACAGAGTGCTGAGAATCGTAAAATCATAATATATTGAGGGGTTGGGATGAACCTTAAACCTCCTCTAGTGGGACACCTCCCACTAGACCAGGTAGCTCAAGGACTTAACCAGCCTGGCTTTGAATACCGCCAGGGCTGGGGCATCCATAACCTCCCTGGGCAACCTGTTCCAGTGTCTGACTACCCTCCCAGTCAAAAGTTAACGAGGCATGTGTGTTACGTGCTACTGACAGCTGCTGTACTCTTCCCTTTTCAGAGTGATCGTCTCCTTATTAAAGGAGGGCGAATAGTCAATGATGACCAGTCATTCTATGCTGACATTTACATGGAGGACGGCCTCATAAAGTAAGTATGGGATTTCTGTTATTTCCATCTCCCCTTAAACCAGCTTCAGGCTGGGTGGTTATTGGCTTTTTGTGGCTGTGGTCTGTGCCCAACTTGCCAGGCAGTAAAATAACCCTCTCTATTCAGAGGCTTAACTCTCTGCAGTGTGTGTAAGCACAGATGTGATTGATGTGCACTCAGATGAACTCCAGTAACTGAATTGCAGTCAGGCTTACGGGATTGTGATACTGTCCATTGTACAGCAAAGTTGTGACTAATTGCACCAGGAACAAGGTTTATCTCTGGCTTCTGTTTTGCCTGTGTTAACCTTATTAGCATGAATGACCCCACACAGGATCCTGTTTGTTACCACTAACAAGGACAGTGCTGTGCTGCAAGTCATCTGCATCCTTGAGATTTCCAGGAATTGCAGGGAAACCTCTGGGTTCCCCCAGCTTCTCTGTGTATGTCTCAGAGCTGAAGGAATAGTTCCATTGTATAAAGGCATTGAAACTTGGCCAAAGGTATTGTGCTGGGACCATCTCCACACTTGGTGAGGTGAAAGAGCCATGATAGTTCATGGCCCTGACACTTGAAAAGGCATTGCTTGCTCTATGGTAAGAGTTAAATATCCAGCCTTCCCAGGGTAGTATATATTTAAAATCTAGCAGCAGATAAACACTTCAAGAAGTGTGATTGTATTTTTATCTGGTGGACAAGACCATTTGTGATTGACAACTGCTTGTACACAGGCAGGGATCAGAGCCAGCTTCAGGTGTTGCTGTCGTGCATGCTTTCCTTGGGCAAATCACTGAGCCTCAGCTACACCCTAGAGGCCACAGAATTTCACTTCTTACAAATGAATTCTGTGAAGAATACAGTGAGCAATTAAAAACCCTTAGTGATGCATTCATCGCCATAAAAGCAGTGGGAAGAGCTGGCTTATTGCTGTGAGGATAGTAAAATGAGCAGTTCTGTCCACAGAATTTTTGTTACACTAGGGGAAAAAAACTGCAAAGTGACTCATCTTGAGTGAAATGCAAAAATGGAATTTGTTTCTCAGTTTTACCTCCCCAGTGTGCCAAGGAAATCAGTTTTCCACTAAAACCAAATTATCTTTAATCTTGGTTTATCAAGGAACACTGAGAAAGGCTTGATGAAAGTAGGATTTCTGAAAGAAGAGATTTGAAGTTTGAGTTGAACATATGGACTTATAAAGGGGGATTGAGGGAACAGGGGCTGAGAAGGGGAATGTTGAGGTTCAGGTAACTTGGCCTACAGGAAGGCTGGATATGTTGAGTTGTGCTTGAACAAGACAGGCTCCAGAGCACTGTAGTTGTGTATTAGGTTACTAGTGGATTTATGCTGGAATTCTCTAGATTTCTTGTTTTCAGAAGACATTTTTAGGTACTTGTGACTTTAGCTGCGTTCACTACAGTGTGACCCTGCTGGTAGCAAAGTGGTCCTTCAGGGTCACAGAAGAGACAAGGTGACAGGGGGGAACTGTGCATTTCTTGGGAAGACAGCGAACCCAGAGCTTGCAGGCTGTGCTATGAGCCCAGCAGGCTGCAGCCAGTCAGGCTGGGCACTTGCTGAGCTATTTCCCAGCTCCCAGGAGTCCCTTTGCTCTAGGGACTTTGTGCTTTCAGCAGCATTGCAAGTCCCTGATAAGCCCTGAGCTGGCCTAGCAGCTGTGGCATTACAGTGGAAATCATCTTTCTCTGTAAATAAGCTCAGACTTGAGCCTTACTTAGAGTGGGCAGAAGGATGGGAGACAGGAGAGATTAGGGGTGTAGCTCACTTGGAAGCAGGGCTGGTGTTGGGCTTTGTGAGCATGCACCCTGGGTGAGCAGTCAGGACTGCTCTGCTGGAAATGCATGCCAGAGCCTGTATGGTGTGAGGTGTCCTAGGCAGGTTCTCACCACACACTGCAGAGATCACCATCAGACCATACTCCCCAGCTCCCCAGCCCAGTGCCTGCCCCAGGTAGCAGGTGCCATCCAAGTCACTCGCAGAGGAGCTGGACAGATGGCAACCACCCCTGGACTAGGCACAGCATAGGTGTGAGCAAGCCAGACAATCCTGCACACCGCTGCAGAGTGGAGTGGTTTTGCTCCAGCAAGCCCAGGTCTGGGAGCAGGACGGAGTGGGGTGTTCCTGCTGGCAGGGAGCTGCCCTGGCAGTCCCTGGCTGAACTCTTCAGAGGTTTTGTTGTGGCTGGTTTTCCTTTGTGTGAGTATCTTGGTGTGATCTCATCAGGCAGATCGGAGACAACCTGATTGTTCCTGGAGGGGTCAAAACCATAGAAGCCAATGGGAAGATGGTGATCCCTGGAGGAATTGATGTCCACACTCGCCTGCAGATGCCATACAAAGGAATGACTGCTGTGGATGATTTCTTCCAAGGAACAAAAGCAGCTCTGGCTGGTGGAACCACCATGATCAGTAAGTGCAGCAGGCACGGCCTGTGCATGACACCATCCAGCACTGCTGCAGGATCATCCAGTTCTTTCTTTTTTCTGTGCTTTTCTCAGTCTTCTGTGTTTTCAAAGTTCATGGCAGTGCATTCATATTTTCTGTGATCTCTGTCAATGCAGTCTAGGGAGTAAGGGTTGGGATCAATCTTTGGATCCTTAGTAATGATGAAGTGATAGGACAGGAGATGTGTGTAGGACCCCTTGCCCTTGGAGAGCCTGTGTTGTGCAGTGCTTGTCTGCAGCCACTATTGCCCCTGGGACCCTCAAAAAGGAACAATGGCATAACTTCTCTGTTAAATAACAGTAGGGTAGCATGGTGCTCAGATGGCTCTGAGCAGAGGAACAGAGCCGTGTGTTGGCATCCGGCACTGCTTGAAAATAAATAGTGCTAATGAAAAAGGAAAGGGAAATCTGAGGTCCTTCCCTGGAGGATGCTATGGCTGTGCACTGGTTTGAGGTCCAGGTGTTGTCCTGTGCAGTGGTTACAGCTGTGTGCACTTCAGGGTTTCTTGGGATGCAGGAACAAGTGTTGATCCTCCCAATAAAGGGCTGGGTTCCTTTGTCCTTCCCCCACAGTTTTTCCTTCCTCTGTGCCAAAAAAATATGTTTTGTGAAATGGTCTGTGGCAAGGCGTGGAGATTCCATGCTGAGCAATAAAAGGTACATTAGTGTTGCAGTGCAGGAGGAGGCTATGTGCTAATGGGGTGGGAGTGGAGATCGGGAAAGGCAAGGCTCTTCAGCTTCCAGCCATTTTCTTAGCAGAAGCATGTAAAAACCCCTGGTCCTGTGCCAGAGGCCATTAAGCAAAGGCTCAGTGCACTTTCCTGCCAATAAATGCACTTGAGGGGCCAAGGCATGTTGTGAAGGTGATGGGATCCTCCTGGGAGCTGCCCTGAAGCTGTTGAAGAGACCAGCCCGGGGTGGTGGGGCTGGCTGGCTGGGAAGCCCTTGGCCAGCCCTTGCCCTGCTGTGCCCTGCAGTGGACCATGTGGTGCCAGAGCCCGAGGGCAGCCTGGCCGAGGCGCTGGAGCGCTGGCGGGAGTGGGCTGATGGCAAAGCCTGCTGCGACTACGCCCTGCACGTGGACATCCCGCGCTGGAGCCACCGCGCCAGGCAGGAGCTGCACACCGTGCTCCAGGACAAAGGTTCGTGGCCTGCTGCTCCCTGACTGGCCTTGGCCAGCTGTCCCCTGGCCAGGGAGGGCAAGAAGGGGCTGTGCTGTTGGGTGTCTGTGGGGTCTTGCACGGCTGCCAGCAGGAGCTGTGCCCCACAGGGCAGCTGGTGGGGAGGGTGGCCAGAGCAGGCAGCCTAACCTGCCCAGCTCACCTCTCTCTCCTCTCTGCCCTGCCACAGGTGTTAACTCCTTCATGGTGTACATGGCCTACAAGGATTTGTACCAGATGTCCAACACTGAGGTGAGCCGCCCTGCAGCGCCATGGTTTGTTGATTCAAGGAGCAGTGGGGGGTGACAGCCGTGGTGGGCATGGGGCAGCTCATAAGGCTGGTGGCTGCTGCCCCTGGCCAGGCCTTGCTGCTCCTCCCCTGTATCCTAGCTGCCTGTGCAGGGCTGCCCCAGGCTGTGCTCTGGGCTGGCTGGGCCCTGTGCTGCAGGCAGAGGCACAGGTCTAGTATGGAGATTGCCAAGAGCATCTGCTGGTCCCTGCACGGCCAGAGCGCTGTGTGGCCTGGCTACACTGGGTCCTGCTGCTGCCTGGGCCAAGGGTGGAAGGGCCATGAGGGGTGCCAGGGCCATGGGCAGCCTGCTCAGTAATCGTTTCTTCTTGTCTCTCTTCTAGCTTTACGAGATATTCAGCTGCCTGGCAGAGCTGGGTGCCATAGCTCAAGTTCATGCAGAAAATGGGGATATAATTGCACAGGTAACTTCTTCTGGCATGCAAGAACTGAAAATCTCTTATCAGGCAGATCTGGTGTGGGGCATTAGCAAAATGGCTCTGAAGCTGGACATTTTGTGCAAGGTGATATCCTTGCTGTTCAGCAGCAATGTCAAAGTTAGCAAGATTTTTTGTTGTGAATACATTGTGCGTAAGTGAATCTGATATAGTGCATTAGCAATTACCTAAATGGAATTGAGTGTCCATCAAGTGTGATATGTTTGCTCCAGCTGCAGCTGTCTTCAGTGTGGAGAGGCAGAGACTTTTGCCTTGCACATTACAAGCCAGGAGAGGTAGAGTCCATTGAGGATTGCCTTGGCAAGAGAGATTTTCTCCCTGTAAACAAACAGGAGGCTAATGAAGCTGGATTTGCAAGGCAGGTGTTGTGAGGGATGTGGTTTAGTGATCAAATGGGTAGTGTGTATTGGCCCGCTGTGTTGTAATTGGTGCTGGATAGCAGAAGGTCCAAATGTTTTGATTCTCATTAAGACACAGAAGACATTGCTCAGTTAAGCTCTGCAGCTATTTGTTTTTTTCTCTCTTTTGTTCTTGGGAGTTGAAGGAGCATGAACCAAGAGATTATTCTTGGAGTATCTTTTCAGACTACAAGAATCAGTTTTTGTTAGAACTTTTAGAGCCATAGTGCACAGTTGGATGGCTCTTTCACATGAAAACCGAGTGGTAAGAGGAATTGTATTGGCCAGAGCTTATTTCTATTTTAGCACCTGCCTAATCATAAAATGCCCCAAAATTACTAATTGATAGCACTTCACAGGCCTGGAAATTGGAGAGGAGGGGAATTTTGTAGCCCATTTTTGTCTCCACATTGTGCTTGTTTCATTGAAGAGGTTTAAGTCAGTTCCTGCCCTCCCATTTCCCCAGGTTCCCTCCTTCTCTTTCAAATCCCTTAAGGGTACAGCAGTCTCTCACTGTGCCTGATGGTCCCACAGGACATAGGATGTTGATGGTCCTGAGGGAAGGCCTTGACACAGAAGGGATCTGCTTTTTTGGTTGATAGTTTCAGTCCTGTAATATCTCTCTGTTCTTTTGGTGTCCTAGGAACAAGCCAGGATGTTGGAGATGGGAATAACAGGCCCTGAAGGCCACGTGCTGAGCAGACCTGAGGAGGTAAGATGCAGAGGACAGTCCAGCCTTGCTTCACTGAAGAGTTTTCCCAGGCACAGTAGGGCTCAGTGTATTTAATGTGGCCAGGCAAGCACTGAGACAGGAGAGAGTGTTTGTACATCCAGGAGTATCCATTTATACAGGCAGTGCTGGCTTTTTCATCATCAGCCCAGGAAAGAGCAAGGTACATGTTTGTGACAGACATTTCTCAATCTTGCTTGAGTTGCCCAGCAGAGACAGAAGCTCTGAGTTTCACAGAGAGGAATCAATCAACCAAAGTGCTCGTATGGCTGTAGCAGCCTTTGAGGCTGCACTGGGGGCATTTGTTTTATATAGGTAACTCCATAGGTGTGAGAAGCCTAAGAAGAATCTAATAATGAGTTTTAGTTTCTCTGAGAATTCACTGTTCCCATCTAAGTGCTGATAGATTCCAGCCTGTTCCTGCTCTGTATCTGCTTAGTCTTTAAAGTGTGTGGTAGAAGGAGTGGGAGGGAAAGAGAAGGGGAATTCCCTGGTTACAAATCATTGTCAGAACACTAATGAGATTACTTCTAATTTTAGCTTGCAG